CTACTACTACTACTACTACCACTACAGCTGCTCCTGCTGCTGCTGCTGCTACGCCTACTAAAACTGTTGCTATTACCACTACTACTACTACTACTACTACTACTACTACTATTACTACTACTACTACTACTACTGCTGCTACTACTACTACTTGTACCACTACTTGTACTACTACTACTACTACTACTTCTACTACTACTACTACTACTACTACTACTACTACTACACTACTCCTCCTCCTCCTACTACTACTACTCCTACTACTACTACTACTACTAGGCGTCTACGCCTACGACTGCGACTACGATAACGACTGCTACTACTACTACTGCTACTACTGCTACTACGGCTGCTACTGCTGCTGCTACTCTGCTACTGCTACTGCTACTGCTACTGCTACTACTACTACTACTTCTACTACTACTACTACTACTACTACTACTACTCCCACTCCCACTCCCACTACTACTACTACTACTACTACTACTACTACTACTACTACCACTACCACTACTACTACTACTACTACTGCTACTACTACTACTTCTTCCACGACTACTACTACCACGACTACTACGACTACTACTACAACACGACGAAAACAATCCAAAGGCTGCAGCTTTTGTTTCAAGGAGAAGGTAGAGACAAATAAAGAAAATGTGTATTATTGTGTATTGACTGGGCTGCAGTTTTGTTTGCGACGACGACGACGGCGGCGACGGCGACGGCGACCGCGACGGCGACGACGACGACGACGCCGACGCCGACGCCGACGCCGACGCCGACGCCGACGCCCACGCCGACGCCGACGCCGACGCCGACGCCGACGAGGACGACGACGACGACGGCGGCGACGACGACGACTTCTTCTGCAGTCATGTGTTTCTTTCTTTTTTCCACTCTACCTCTCCTTACTAAACTCCTTACTGCAAACACCCGGACCCAGAAGATACAATCTCTATTCCCTGGAACCTTCGCCCCTCATCCATTTGCTCCCCTCCCCCGTCGTCCTCTCCAGCGCGTGAGGCCACGCCCACAGCGGCCCTTTGGGCTCCGAACAGCGTACCATTCGAACAGCTGGTTTTTGCTCATTTGACATCGCTTGCTAGGGGTCAGAATTCGAAGGTACCGGAGCTACTATTCTGGAGATTGGAGACTTCAGTGTTGGAGTCGAAGGGGAAACCCAAACTCAGAAAGCCCTTGAAACTATTTGGAGTTCTTTTGTTTTTTACAAATGTAGAACCCGATGTCCTTGCTCGAAGTTAGGACGACACTACACGGTACTCTGTATCTACTTCTGTCGTGAATTCAACTTTGAACGCCTGTATCAGCGTCGTGAATGACACGCGATTTGTCAAATTATTCCATTCCATGCTTTTCTACTCCTTCAACTGGGCCCCCAACGGCTCGTAATTGGTTCCCAAGGAGAGTCGGAGAAGGGCATCCTGCCAAAAAGTGGTACAGTATATAGATGATGTCGGCCACAGCATGTTTCTGAAGAACTCTGGCACCAGCAGACAATACGACAATCTACTTTACTTCACTAATTCCTTCCCTCTCAAAACAATGAATGGTGTCTGGTATGCTTTCTGATGCTGTCAGTGGAGCATGCTAGCAGCTAGCATGACACAGCAGTGTTGAACCGTGCGTGTGGCTCCTTCTATTCTCGCTGCATTCCAGTTTCCCAACCTGTTCCCAACCCTTCATCACTAGACATGCATTGGCTGCTCCAGACACACACTCTTTGACCCAGTCCTCCTGATTGGGTGACAAGGGTGTCTTCGGCGGCTCTCTCAGCAATCTGGCTACCTTGACAGAGGGATGCGGACTGGAATGATGCAATGAGCTCTCAGCAAATCTCAATCAAAAGTTTGGAGTAAAGCTTCCCGACGATACTAAGATATTTGTGACACCTCGACAGCACAAGTTTCATTCAAAGGACTGGGATGATGACCAGAAGTACAGTAGTCGTTGTACAAGCTCATGTTTGATTGAGCATTCCGAATGTCCAAAGCACCTCGCGATACTTCTGCGCGCGATTCTCGTACTCCTGCACGGGCAACTTAAAATACAACGTGCTCAAAAAAACAGAACTTCTCTACACCGAGATGGCTTCCGCGCGATGCAAACCAAAATGTTTCATGGATTGATGAGAATCTGTACCTGTCTACCCTCGAAGGTGTGCACGGATCAAGAAAATATTTTCTTTTGGTCCCCTCACCTCGGCCAGGCTCGGAAACTCGTGGTATCCAGTGATGCCATCCACCTGAGGACTTCTGTGCCCAAGGGGCGGCAGCCAGAATCAGTCTCAACAAGAGCGCGAGGAAAGCCCTGTTGACTTGTGTGTGTGTGTGTCAACCCCTGTCCCAAAGGGAACTAACCTATCTAGCTTTCTATTTTCTTCCATCAATTCATGCCTGTACAGCAGCAGGGGGTGGTAGCAAGGCAGAGAGTCTACCACCAATGAAGACGCTCTCTAAGCCTTGGTGATACTGGGATTGATCATCCCAGCGTACCTGCACAATTTTAGCTGATTCTCCATGTTTCACCTATGTTCAAACATTCTGTTGATCTGACCCAGCATTTCTTTTCAGTCAAGGTCTAAATTGCAGTAACGCTAAAGGGCTAATGCTCGCTACGAATTTCTGAAACTCCGCTCTACGGAGCACTCTTCTCAAGTGTGTGTCTGTTTGCTTTGCTTTTCTCTGGAACAAAACCCAACGACTTTAGGGTTCATCTTTCCAGTCTAGCAAACTGCTCCAGAGTTGAAGGCTCCTATGCTTGATAAGAATTCCCTTGACAAAACAAAGTGCTCTGGAAGCCAAAAGTCCCCAATCCCCAGCGCGGTACAGCCAAGGGAGCACTGTCCCCCCTCCGCTGACGGACAGGACGGTGACCACAACATCAAGCAAGAAACATCCAGACATGCAGGCGGCCCCAGGAGAAGCGAACTCATGTTGCTGACCGGCATGAAAGTCTTTCCACGTTGCTGGCACCCACTTCACGGAGCTGGATGAGAAAAGAATGCTTGAGAGCTAAAATGGAGACTGACAAGTCAAGGCTACAGGGGTGTACACTAAACTAAAGCATTCTAATGCCCAACAATCGATCTGAAGCCCACATGTCTGCCTGCGGTTTCCGGCTCAACTCTCTCAGCTGTCTTGCTGCAGCCTGCACATGACGCGTTTTGACAGTCATACATACATGTCCGAGTTGTCACTCAGGAGGTATGGAGAGTTCATCTGTCAGCCATGTTCTACAGTGGTGAAATCAGTGAAAGAGAACACATCACACAAAAGGCCCCCCAATACAAACGAAGGGGGGTAGTGGGCAGACGCTGGCGCAGGGCTAGGCAAAGGGTGAAGGATATCAAAGTTCAACTCGTCTCACTTGGCCAGCTGCAAGGGGGTGGGACGAACCAGCTGCGCAGCCACCTCATATTGCTCTATGATGTCATTCACCTGCAGCAAATCAAAAAGGTGCGCAAGCAACAAGCGGGGTCAAGTCCTGACTGCCAAGTCTTAAAAAAACTGCACGGTCTTCCCGGGGGTGAGAGGATCCTATGGGATCCTTGACCCATGATAGCCAGCTAGCTGATTGGCTTCATTCAAAGAAGTGTGACATTGAAGAAAGCTGCATTGCTTGTTCAGTGCAGACAGGATCAAGTAAAGCTTGATGCTGAATCATCTTGATCCCTGGCTATATGCAATGTCCTCTTGATGGAACTCAGATCAAGAAACCAGTCTATTCTCATGAGCTTCGCATGTCCCTCTTCCTGCGATCCGGTTTGCCCACTCGAGCCCCTGACTTTCCTCACAATTTCCAAATCTGCTCCTTCTGCTGTAATCGGCATTTGGACAGCTTAATTACAGACCGAGCAACTTTGCGAAGATATGACTGGGAAAGAATCTACGCAGTTGAGGGGTGCTATGCAGGTATCAACAAATGCATGTATAGAGTGTGTCCTGCTCAATCATCCAAAGCTTGTTGTGTCACATACTTTCTATGGAAATCAAATCGTGTCCTGTTAAATGGCATGAGCTTTGCCATGTAGTCAAAGCAGCTATGGTTTTGAGGCAATTCTATGGCTGTGGTGACTAACCTGCAAGGCACATTCAGACTACGCGATAGTGAGATCACGCAAAAGGATGCAATCAATCACATTCTGTCTGTATCCAACACTAGTACACCAGTCGCCTTGAACCCCTGATCTCCCAAACTGATTCCAACAGCTGAGAGTCTTTTCTGACGATGCCACACGCTCAACGATCTCATACTAGGGCATCGAATGCTCACATTACATCTGCCCGGTACATTTCACATTAATTCGAAGGGCGCATAATTAAGCACCGATCCAGATTCCCGAAGACTGCATCACCAGGCACCTAGGGTTTCATGAGAATTGCCCAACCTCAAATTTCACAGTGGCGAATTATTGGACTTGCAAGAACTCCTAAGTCAAGAAGTCCCTTTGAAAGCACGACCTATCGAGGGTAGTGGCTCTAGGGGGAAGAAAAGAGCGGAAACGACTTTGAGGTCAATGATCGCACTCTTCGTATGTGAAGAGGTGCCACATTCGTAGTGACCCTTCAAGTTGATATTGTGGCTCTTCACTTGTCCCCTGCAGAATGACATAGTAGGTAATGGGGCTGGGGTCTCCCGCCCAATCCAAGCAGGGGGAAAAAAAGATGGCCAACGAAAAGCTGCGAAAAGCTGTTGGCTATTGAGTTGTTTTTTCTCATGGCAGTGCATCAACCTGTGTTGCCTCCGGGCCAGGCCTGCCCAGAGACCGGAAATGCAGCCACGCCACCGTGGTGAGCGGACCATGGGCAAAGACGTTAGCTGCCTCTGGAAAAAGAGAGAGAGAGAGCTGATCGGAGCCATTTTGAGCTCACAGAGAAACGGCTATGTTTTAAGTTAAAGTTGTTGTGTGTATATAATAATGAATACCTTTTATTTTTGCGAGGCTGGTTAGTGGTGGAAAATGCTAGCAAATTGTCGTTTTTCTATAGGGATCCAGAGCGTCCGTTTGACACCGACCGTCCGAGGAATTGGGGCTCGTTTGGAGCAGAACTCAATGGGTTAAAGCCGTGGCGAAGGGGTGGTTTCAGATGCTTTTTGGGAGGCTGGTTAGTGGTGGAAAATGCTAGCAAATTGTCTTTTTCTATAGGGATCCAGAGCGTCCGTTTGACACCGAACGTCCGAGGAATTGGGGCTCGTTTGGAGCAGAACTCAATGGGTTAAAGCCGTGGCGAAGGGGTGGTTTCAAATGCTTTTTGGGAGGCTGGTTAGTGGTGGAAAATGCTAGCAAATTGTCTTTTTTCTATTTTTTCTATAGGGATCCAGAGCGTCCGTTTGACACCGAACGTCCGAGGAATTGGGGCTCGTTTGGAGCTGAACTCAATGGGTTAAAGCCGTGGCGAAGGGGTGGTTTCAGATGCTTTTTGGGAGGCTGGTTAGTGGTGGAAAATGCTAGCAAATTGTTTTTTTTCTATAGGAATCCAGAGCGTCCGTTTGACACCGAACGTCCGAGGAATTGGGGCTCGTTTGGAGCAGAACTCAATGGGTTAAAGCCGTGGTGAAGGGGTGGTTTCAGATGCTTTTTGGGAGGCTGGTTAATGGTGGAAAATGCTAGCAAACAATCCAGAGAGCAGGCAATGAAACGCTCCGCACGGGCACGGACCTCGACACCGGAAAGAAACGACGATTCCAGAAGAGCAACCTTTAAAAGGACGACTGAAACCCCTGTTCGAAAAACCCTCGCAATGCCAACCAGTGGAGGAAAAGCCGGACCTGAGAATCCGGGGTCGGCGGCAGGGGCGGCAGCCCTTAAATAATAATGAATACCTTTTATATATATATATATATTGCAAATAAAGTGTATAAATTCAGTTCTAAAGGGACAACATGCATGAACCCTGGAGTTGAGCAAAGGCAACACCAAAATAAGAAAATGGATTTGACTTCACAACCAAACCCCTAGATAGAAATTTCTGGAACTCTGCACAAGTGCCTGAGATTCTGACGACCATTTTGAGTCTACACGTTCCTCGATCGCAAAGGAAGGACCAACACATGAGAACCCTTGAACAAACACGGTCGATGTGGCTTAAAATATCTTAAAATTGTATGCCACGCCTGTTGAGCATGACATTGTAGGTGTTGACTCGTTGTGAAGAGAAAAAGAGAAGAATCGATCTAAGTTCTGTCCAAGTGGCACATCTGCGTCTAGTATGCCATCATGCCGCCTTGTCAAGGAGGTTTGGTTTGTTCCTGTTGAGTCGATGGCCATCCCTTGAATGACAGTGATGGTGAGCAAGTGTTCAATGGAATTTTCAAACACAAATAGCCAGCTACAGTACCAACCAGGCCATTCAATTGAAGCACTACCCATAGAAGTTTTGTATGTCACTCCTAGCCAAGGACTCGTGATACTTGGAGACAATTCACTCGCTTTCCTTCAGTGTGCAAATGAGTCGCAAAGTCCGGCCTTTTCCCATAGCCTTTCCCTTTCCTTTGCCACCACCCCAGTCGTGGCCGCCATAACCGTAGTATGGTTGACCCCATCCCTTGCCACCACCGCCCCAACTGCCCATCATCATGTTCATGAAGTTCATCATGCCTGGCACAGGCAAAAAAGACTGACAGAGCTTGTCCACGGGTGTTGTGTGAGAGTTAGTTACGAAGGGGAGCAGTCCGTGACTCAACCGGTCGTGTACACCAGGAGCTTCGTTGGACACGCGAAGCACGGTGCGGTGTGGGTGCTAGTACGTGCCAACGCGGTCGCTTGCGACCCCAGAGGAAGTTGCATTTTTTCCGGCTTGGATGACATTAGCAGGTATGCATGTGGGTTGATGTTTGATATGTTGCGTTGAATGGATGGAGGTGGGGGGGGGGGGGGGCTTGGGTTGGGGGGGGGGATAATGACGTTGGTTTGGATGCGGTTCGAAGATGATGTCACATGCACACACGCCTTGTGGGGTTGAGTGAGGGGCCAGGGGCTAACGACGATGGTTTGGATGTGCTTTGATGCGTCACTCAGAAAATACAGTTTGCTTGATATTAGAGCCGCCCACTGCATGTATGTCAGACGTGACTTTTAACAATTACACCACCGTAGACCCCAAACAGGTTAGACAACAACGAAGCATTCCCAAGTCCACTTTTTGAGACATCAACAAGAAGGGAGACAAGACGAACACAATAACAAACAAGAACGGAGACAAGAAGGGAGACAAAATAACAAACAAGAACGGAGACAAAACGGACAGAGACGAAAAGAAACAGAAGAGAAACAAGGCGGACACAATGACCAACAAGAAGAGAAACAAGAAGGGAGACGAAAAGAAACAGAAGAGGGACAAGACGGACACCATGACCAACAAAAAAGGAGGCAACAAGAAACAGAAGGGAAACCAAACGGACACACGGACCAACAAGAAGAGAGACAAGACCGGATACAAAGGGAGGCAGAAGAGAGACAAGGTGGACATAATGACCACCAAGAAGGGAGACATCAAAAGGAAACAGCAGTCAGACAAGACGGACACAATGACCCACAAGAAAGGAGACAAGAAGGGAGACAAAAAGAAACACCAGGAGACAAGACGGACACACTAAGCAACAAGAAGGGAGACAAGACCGGAGATAAAGGAAGCAGAAGGGAGACAAGGTGGACACAATGACCAACAAGAAGGGAGACAAGAAGGGAGACAAAAGGAAACAGAAGGGAGACAAGGCAGATACAGTGACCAACAAGAAGGAAGAGAAGACCGGAGACAAAGGGAGACAGAAGGAAGACAAGGAAATGCTGCATGGCCAGCGGAAAAGGGCCAGCAGCGACAGAAAGGGCGGACACATCTTAAGGAAGAATTGAGAACCCCTAACAGTAAACTGCTTCTGGAATGAATAGAAATGCTGCATGGCCAGCGGAAAAGGGCGGACACCAGCAGTGACAGACCTGGGAGACAAATGAATAGAAATGCTACATGGCCAGCGGAAAAGGGCGGACACCAGCAGCGACACAAAGGGCAGACACATGTTAAGAAAGAATTGAGAACCCATAACAGTAAACTGTTTAGGGGAAAAAAGAAAACAATGCAAAGAAGTGCTACGAAAAAGCGTCCCACCCGAACCCAGAAATTGAACACAGAACCTGACTGGAGTCTTGTAAAATACACTATTTCAAGAACACCACGTTTTGCACTCCAAAGATGAAATCAAAAATACATCTTTAAAAAAGAACTGTTTATATACTAATTTCAACAAAAAACAGCATCAGTTCTTGCCTAGTTTTGTGCTACAAGAGTGGCAGTTCATGTTCACGAACCCGTTTTCTCAATGAGAGGAGACAAAAAATGTCGCTTTGCGTTGAGGCCCTGACTCTTCTATCGTCCCACCTCCTGACCCTAGACTCCCTAGACCAGCGGCAACACATGAGACTCAACAAAAAACGACCCAACACGCATGCCCACGCTCACACATCCAACCTTGCATGCCCTTCCTTGGCAGCAGTCAATGCAATCTGCAGAGGAAACCCCGTGTAAAAGTTCAGTCCACACTGTTTAGAACCTAGCCCGAGCCTAGCTGGCCTAGCTGCTTGCTTTTGAGAGAATGCTCACCTGCAATCACTCTCAACGAACTGGAAAAGAATGGAGTCACAGTCTCCAGCCCCCCCCACCACCAATCCCACATGCAGCCGAAACAAGAGCGGCATCTCTGGTGTTGTTCGTGTCACTGGACTCTGTGAGAAAGCAAAGTGTCCTGTTTGAAGGGTTTTGGAGACCTAGTTACTCACACTCTTGGAGACATACATAGTTCAAAATCTACTTGGAAACGTTCAAGTGTGTTCAACACCTCTAATGTTCATGATGTTTCCTTGTCTCCCGTTTTCTGACACGACTCCAACCCCGAGCTTCGGCCACCCTTTCTAAGCCCAGCATCATCCCTTTCATGCTGCCCTTGCCAGGGGCTCGCTCAGAACGAGGAGTTGCAAACCTCAAGTTTACAAAAGCGAATCGGCAGCTATCTTCCATCTTGTACTCAGGGCTTGCATTCTGATATTTGGTGTTCAAAAGAGTAAACAAACGGAACACCATTCTACATGTCCTTGCTGAAGGCCGTCAGTGAAAAGACTTGGCGGATAGGACAACTCTGAGCCTCCAGCACTACAGTTACTGGAGTGGAAAAGCCATCTGGGATATTTCCTTGGTCAGTCAAGGGTGAGAGTCTGATGTATTGAGAGTAACATCAAATTCAGGACCTGCATGTTTTGTGCGCAAGAATGCGCAAAAAGACTGTATTGAAAAGAAGCTAAGCTAGGCGAATGCTGTATGGCTTTGCTGCAAGCAAGCGGCCGTTTAAATTGTCAACAACCCATTGCGCTTGGTCAACCGTCTCCATGACAACGAAGCTGGCTGCAGCGTTCCTAGGTGTCATGAATCATGTGCCTCCTTGTTTGATTATCAGCTACTAGTAGCTTCTTGCTCCTAGTAGCAATGGCCTCCAACCTACTTGCGATGGCCTCCACCTAATAGCATCCTTGCTACCACTACAAAATATCTGTGCCGTTGCAAGTGTTGCAAACAGTGAAAAATTAAGAAACAACTCACAGGAGACTGCTGACACCCTGCTTCCCCAAGTGTCGCCGTCCAGCGAGAGTAAGATACTAACATCACAATGCAGGCCCTAGAATGAACAAACCCGCAGGTGGCTCACACAACGAAGGAAGGAGGAAAACTTGCATGCCTTTCAAGACGGGACGGCTCTTCCACCAGAGTTATATAGAATGTTTGTTGCATAGCAAGCTGCAGAGTGACTTCCTTTGAGCTGGATTGGGGGGCAAGTTGCTCCGAGTCACGCACACTTATCTGAGGGCCGCACTTGCCAGGCAACACCGGAAGGACAGTGGCATCTGTCACCTCACAAGGAAGAAAGCTGAGTTTTATGACACAGCAACGGAGAAAAGCTAGAAATGCCTTCTACATCTTGCATTGCGCAGTGCCTCGTCCTTCTTAAAATATAGCAGAAAAATAGAAATATCTTACTTTTCCTCGGGGTTCCTGAACCAATTGCACACTACCGACGGCAACAGCTCTAAAGCTGACGCCCGCATAGTCCACTGCCAGGTGGCAGTTCCGTATTGGCTGAAGGCCTTTTTGGCTTGCTCGCTGGAGCAATCAACGGGCAGGCCACTCCTCAGTTCTGTAGAAATGAGCTGAAACCAAATGATGAATTAACAGCCTCATCTGGTGCTTGGGGTCATCATTGGCATTTATATTCCTGTTCTGCAAAGGAATCATATATACCAGAACAAGCAGCATTAGAAGACCTGCCACTTAGGTGTTGTGCACAAATTTTGCCACCAAAGGGCACGAAGAGCGTCTCGCTGGGTGCAGGTCCCTTACTCATCGTGAAGGATTGGACTCAATTGTGTTATCTTTTTGAAAATAAATTGCAAAAATGATGCATCTGCTCATGCTGCTATGATGATGCATCTTGGTTCATGTATGTCAACTCCCCATTAAGCCAAATCTTCAGCGACGGGATCAACGAAATAAGAACGTGATAAGAGGATATAAGAGGGCCAATGTTGTACTGTCGTTCAGGTTGCAGCTCCGTCTGCATATGGCATATGGATATCGGATATGCAGTAATCAAATACAGCCAGCAAACCTACGAATGACTCACACAATTCACCAATTCTTCATGTCACGCTTCAACTGTCAAGGTCCTCCCAGCATCACAAGAACCACATTGTCCGTATAATATATATATATATATACATCAAACCAACCTACTGGCAGGCAATCAGAGATAATCGAGGCAATTTTTGGTTCCGGTCCGCAACTTTTTTCAACTCATTATGAACGCCTGAGCACACAGGTGTCTTTGGACTCATTCTCCCTCTTCTTCCTCTTCTTGTTGCTCCTGTTCCTGTTCCTGTCGCAACATCTGGCAAATTGCCCTGTGATGAACGACCATACAAAGCCGTACAGCATACAGTAACAGGCCCGGCTAGACGAACTGGTGCTCGACTCAAAAGCGCTTCAATTCTCTCTTTCAGTGGCCATGTTCAGCAACCTCACCTGCTCCTCTAATTTGGCAGCAGCTTCTTCCTGACAGCGCTTCTCATCCGGCTGTGAATGAGCTGTTCGCGCACCACAGCGGCTGCGGAAAGCATCTGAGCAATGGACAACAGCATTGGTTGTTGTGAAGACCTGTTTTGAGGTATGATTGATCGTGGTCAAATCTCTGACCCAATCAGCTTTCACCAACCCAAACGGCCCAAACGGTGGAGTCAAGCCATAAGTTCTATTCATCTTTCATAGATCCAAGGATCATCCCGACCTCCTTTCATGTCAGATTATGCATTTAGGCATGAACTATGCCTTGAGCATTCACAAAAACACACTTATATAGGTCACTACTAAACTCAAGACTGTCCCAAGCAAAGAGCTCATGGGTTTCAATTGACACCACTCCTGCTTCTGCTCATTTTCTTGCACTTCATCGTAGTCGCCCTTCAACTCTGTGACCTCCAACTTCAGCAAGTCACATTACATGACCCACATGCTCACACTTGAATAGCCAGTGAACCCGTGGTTTGCGTGGGGGTTCAGGGCCCCCTATTGACGCACCCTCAATGACATGGTCGTGGTTGTTACGGCCAACGGCTAAAAGTTTGCAAACAATGATTCGTATCAGAAGCTGCAAGGCTGCAAGTTCAATGTAGTTCAATCTAGTTGCCTGATATCCGTCGTTCGTCCACTCCTCATCCCGCCTGGTATTTGCAAATGCCCGGTCTTCCAGGCATCTTATCACAGCTTTCTTGTGGCTTGCACATCTGGCAGGTTGGCATCTTCAACACTTCACATCCAGGATCCAGTAAAAACAAATCTGACAGAAGGGCAGACTCCTAAAATGGCCAAAAGCATTCTACAAAAACCCAAGCAACTCACTGCGTGAAGCGAGTATCCCTTTAACAGCATGGTCTCAAAGAGGTTGCCAGCAAAAAATGTGGATAATCAACAGTAAATCCCAGGGAGGGAAGGGATCAAAGTAAATTCTGCGGGAAAAGTTCTGGCTGCGACCCCAATGCATGAATCAAGACATTGAGTACAATGCACTCTTTCTTTGCAATGGGAAGTTAAATAAACATTAAACAAAAAATACTAGACTATCTAGACTATATACTGTACTTCTCTTTGCATCCCCCCAAAAGGGACACAAGCTCATATTTGCGGCCTCAAATCATCAAAAGCTCTAGGTTTCAGCTTTTGGGTGGCACCGCAAAGCCGCAAACCGCTGAAACTTTAGGTCCTTGAGTGGAAAAGGACCAGAAACACCCACTTGACTTAGGTGAAAACCCTGAACAAGCATCCCTCCCTGACTGGAATGAGGATGATCTATGACAGTGGGTGAGCCGGTCTCGCCCAAAGCCCTCGCTGTGAGCTCGCATAAAGAACTGCCAAAAGGAGAAAGAACAGCGACATCCCTCCGTCACGACCATCCTCCTTGGAAGCGCAGCTTTCCACAAAAATGTCCTCAGGCTTGCCCCTGGCGATTTTTGCAGCACAACTGACTATAAGGTTCTCTATGCTGCACAACTGACTCCAGCATTCTAGCACACTTTCCTGAATCTCACGAACTGTTATCATAAACGCTTCACAAATCCCATCCACACCTGGTTGAAGCCTCTGAGCAGCACGTCTCGCGGAAAGGTTCTGAGCAACGGTGTTTCAAGGGCCAGCACATGACGAGTGTGCAATTCTTTTGCAAATCAAAACCATGTCGTCTTGTGCCAACTTGGGAGATTGTTGAGTCCTTGAACCGCGGTTCAGGGGCACTCACTTCCAAGACAGCAACCAAGTGCCTAACTGCAGGTGGTCTTCGGCCCTGAAAAGAACATCCACACAGGAGCAGAGACCTTGAAAGTCAGGCTGTGGCCTCAGCACACGTTGTGGTTCAATTTGGTCTACAGGCTTCTCCCATAGTGCACCCTCTTCCCTTCAGGTGCAACCAGTTCTGACCCATGCCATCACTTTCACTGAAGAAACAAATTGGTGTGTGCTCCATGGCACAAAATAGTCACCACTAGTCACCTGTTCGGTCCTCTCGAGAGCACTTAACAATCAATTTGGAGGGCCAAAACCAAAACCTTGCCTGACATTGCAGTCCTGCACAAGCAATTAAAGCCCTCTGAGTTCAAATCCATTTGGATAGCAAGGAACTGGTGGTGGTGCCGGTGGTTCCAGCGGTGCCTCACGGCGGAACTTGTGAAGTTACAATCAAAAGAAACTCTGTATTTTCTTTATTTTAGAAGTCCGAGTCAAAAACATGTCTTCATTGCACATCTGTCGCTACAAATCGTCCACTGCAGATCGCCTCCACAGGTGCAGCCGGACCTGGTCCAAGGCCTGGGGGACCTGGTCCAAGGGCTGGGGGACCTGGTCCTCCGGAAGCTGGCATTCCCGGTTCCTGACAATCGATCAAACGGAGTTCCTCCAAAACAACTCTCCGAAGAGTTCGCGCCTGGACAGGCGCCTCAATCTGCTGTAAGGAGACGGGGGCGGCCGGTTCACCCAGGCCTGGCACACCAAAATGCCAGGCTCACAGGCCTTGATTCGAGTGCTTGGCTAAAATGGCTTTAGTCGTACCGGCTCTGGCATCGTTGCATAGTTCTAATAGCTTCTTGTTACTACTAGTAAGGCACTCGTTGCTACTAGTAAGGCACTTGTTACTAGTAGTTCCTAGTAGTTAGACATCCTGAACAACGAGCTCTTGAAAGAACTCTTCTTGGGGGCAAGGAGTGGGGTAGTCTTTCCGAAGTCGTCTTAGATGTTGTTGTCGGAACTCGGCTCACAGAGATTTGATATATATATATACTCTTTGACCATCGGGTCACATAGCTGGATTAGTTGCACCTCCCCTAAACTTCCATGTAAATCATGAAGTTAGTACATTGTAGTGCCATTGCTAAATCTTGGTATGCTACACACAACATCTGCATGACTCTCAGAAGTTGTACTTGCCCAACTAGTGCCCAGACTCAACACCAACAAGCAAGAAGGCCAACATAAAAATGCCCCGAGCTTGCCTGGAAGAGGTAGAGGAGGTGGTATAGGTGGAGGTGGTGGAGGAGGCTTGTTATAGCAAACGATCGGTGTCTTGCAACCTCATATGGATGACCCATGGGTCTGCTTCCGGACGGAATCAACCAACTTGTGCCGACAAACCGAGGCCAAGAACCAAAAGCCAAGAGCAGTTTTTCAGGGCTCAACGACTCAACATGCAAGAAAACTAGAACCAATCAACCAATGTATCAGTGAGTGCAAAAAGGCGTCAAAAATTAGAGCCCGCCTCCATGGTAGATTAACATCCCTGATAGTCTAGTCTGTATTGTGTGTCCATGGATGCTCCTGGTGACAGGTGACGTGGTTTTGTTTGTGTTTGCTTGCACTCATGCTCCCTTCCGTAGAAGCAAGAACCCCGGTACCAATGCCAAAGGGCACGTATCACCACTCCAAAATGAGCACCGGCCGAAACAGCCGAAACACGAAACTCCACCGGTCTTGAGCTGAGGAGCCATCTCCAGGTTCGCATTCCATCGCCGCATTGCGCGGCGGGGTGTTCCAGTTTAAGCCCTTCAAGTACGCCTGAGGGTCGCTGGTTCTCAAGTTTCCACTTTCTCAATCCATGCAAAAGATGCAACCTAACTTGAATGTTCCCATGCAAATCTGTCCACTGTGTCACAGCTGTGACAAGCAAAATGTAGATAAAACTCAAGTACAGCAGAACTCAGAACTTGCTTGATCTTCACCCCACCAAGACCTGACCTCTACTGTATTGGCTTGTCTTTACAAAGGAGAATAGCTACTTCAGCTTGTCGTAGAGTCGGTCCTTCATGCCAGGCTCCCGCCAGTCAGCTTGGTTGCCATCAATGGCGATGAGCTCATAGCCTGGCTCCGGAGGTCGGGTTCTTCGATGTGGACGACATGGCGATGTGGCTTGGCACTGAATCCCGCCCAATTGACACTTCATGTTCAACGAAGTCTGAAAAGAACTCTCCTGTAATCATAAGGATGTCCCACACCGTATCCTTCCAGGTGCAAGGCAACTTGAACTGAGTTTCACAGACTTGACAAAGAATGGCTTGGCGGCCCAAGACTAATGTCATAACCACACCACACCCCACTGAACCCCATCAAAGGCCCTCAGTGCCACGGCGCCGCCTCGTTTGACTCCGGCATCTTTGGCCAGGCCCTTCACCTGCATTGCCAGTCAGTCGTTCGGTCGGCAAGTCCTACAAACGCCTGTGTTTCAACCAGTTGGGGGCGAGGTTTGAGAAAATGGCACCTGGAAAGGAGCCTCTGAATGCAACCCATGGGATTTGGGCTCTGCCGTGTCACATCCCACCAAGCCTTCCAAGCAATTGGATGGTCCTCACCACCAGAAAACATCCAACCACCAGTCCGTATCTTCCTCAGTGTGAGACAATTGCATCTGTTGAAAAAGAGCTTACTGTTGCTACTTTCTACGGAAGAAGAAACAAAGCTCTTCTGTAGGAGACCCCGCTTTGTAACGAGCAAGTGGTCCTGAGACCTATCAGAATGCATGTAGTATCATCAGTTCTTGTTCAGAATTGGTTGGAACTCCATCGTGGATGATTTTTCTTGCTTGTTGTAAGGACATCATCGATTACATACAATTCTGAGTTGATGATGATGCTGACGCTGATGCTGATGATGATGGTTGTTCCTGAGTCTTTTAGCATTGCATCCTGGAGGTGTCAGGACGTGTTCCCGAGGACCAGCAATTGTCGAAGGATCCGCTGTGGCTCCGAGTTGTCTGCTGACAGTCCACCCAGGCGGCCAGCAGAAATGCACACAGTTGCCATGGTAGTGTCACTTGAAATCACTGCGCCGGACGATGAACAGCCAATCTTTTCCAGGGCTTTGGCATGGGTTGTTTTGTTGGGGTGTATTGCGTTGAAAACAAAGACGACGGGTCCTGACAAGCCGCAGAAGGAAGTCGTTGCACACATGTTGATCAGTTTCAACACTTTCACTTGAGAATGAGACTACAGAACTGTTCTGGGTTGCTTCCCACCTCCGAAGTATCAATTTGGCTGGATCCATTGGCATTGTTAGACCCCAAGGTCTGTGTTGTGGTGGCCAAGGAGACATGTATGCGGATTCAGTTGGCAATGCTGCACCTTAACTTCGCTGATTCAAGGAAGGCCATCATGTTCGGCACAACGACGTAGACGAGGTCAGAGGAGAAAGGTATGCTGGAAGACACAGCAGTTGATTGATAAATTAAAGGAACAGGAAAGAAGGAAAAGAGATAGGTGATAGGTGAGAAAGCGACGGGAAAAAGTAGCAAGCAAACAAACAGCTTGATACAATGCACTCACATGTAAAGGCTTGGTGTGCTCATTGCAAACCAATATGCAAGGTCCATCCAGAGAAGTCAACATAACCTCCCCTGACAAATAGATTATCGATGTGTCAACAGGAAATACCTGGTTCCCCTGAGGCTCCGAGAGATGTAGCTGGTGCTCAATGACATTCAGTCAGTTGAGCAATAACCGCCGTCACAATGCCCAAGGACAGGCTGCTGGAACAAACAAACTCTGGATATTTGGAACTTTGACGCCTCAAATGCATCTTTCCAATACTTTATTCTTGTGCAAATTGGCAGCTACGCTTGCACCCAACCCCTTCTCACATGGCAAAAAAGCCACTATGGGAAATCTAAAGCACCCACTTGGAATAGCTTGTGAAGCGACACTTTCGCTCAAATGGCAAGGACTATCTTAAATCTTAGCTTGGACAAATTGGTTTCGCTCTATTTTGACAACTGTGGCTCAACGAGCTGTTGTCAAGTCAACTCCACACCCAAGCGTGAGGCTTCGACAGATCTTCCAAGATCTTCAAGTGACATTTCTTCGTTGGATCCTCTTCCTGGCATCAATGGATGGCAGCATGAGATGGGTTGGGCCGAATTAGTCCTTTAAAGCTGCATCTAGATCTTCAAGCTGTTTGACTTGACCTGTCTAGGGCCGCTCGTTCCTGGCTTCCGGAGTTTACACTTGAGAGTCGGAGAAACTTGATGAGAGTTCGATTAAAACGGCCTACAAAGATCTATTTTCTCGAGCTTCAGCTTTTTCAAGACACCAAGCCCAGCAATCGTACTTTGGGCCTTGTTCTTCATGCAATTTTGGTACGCGCTATCTGGAGGGTATTTCACCTCAGGCCAACATCCCCATTTGATCGATCCAAGAACTTCAAGAGCAGCCGGGCCAATCACGGAGACTGTCTTGAAGCACTTCCTGGCCGCGGGAGGCTACCAATGAAGCTATATAAGCAAGTAAGAGCAGCTACTAGTAAGTAACGGCCACTACTAGACATGAAGAACCCCTGGCATGATTGATTTGGTTCCAAGATGTTTAGGGAAACCTACTGCAACTAGTAGCGTCCTTGCTCCGAGTAGCGATGCCCTTTGCCCCTAGTAGTAGCGTTTTCTTTACTCGATGTTTGGTTTGATTCTCCAATTTTGTCTGGCTGGCGAGCTGTCGATGTGCTCCCCCAGCGGGCATTGAAAGCCTGGCAGGGGATTGGCCAGCGGACACCAGGGCGGCCAGGTGTAAAAGTTCAAGTCCTGCTGAGTGCTGCGATTCGTCTAAACACTCAGATGGCTGTGGGTCAAAAGCGGGACCCTGGTTGACCACGGAAATTGAATGGGGTCAAACAGGCTCTGCGGCTCCAGGTTTTGACCCGCAGCCAGGTACTTTTGTGACCAAGTCTAAACAGCACAGCTTTGCGACCCGAGCATCGAATCGTGGCAGGACCACCGGGCACACAATGACCCAGCACTGGACAAAGACACTTGTTCATATCGTTGCCTCTCCTTTTTTTCTTGAAGGAAACAAAGTCGTACCTCGCATTGATGATGCAAAACCGAAAAGATGGAAACCAGAAATCTGTCCTTTCATTCACCCACTCCAGTCTGACCTGAACTGTATTCGCTTCTTTTTGGATTCAATCAAGCAAATCCGCAGCAACAATCACTGCCAATTTGTTCGGAGCACCAGTGCTCATGACGAGGAAGCTTCACTTCAAAGCCTGCCCCCAAGCCGGATGATGAAAACAGCTCTACAAATTGCTAGATATGGAACAGGCTGTTTTTTTCTGTTCGTGCACCATGTGCTGGATGCTGCTCGCTGGCCTCTGGATATGTTTTTACTATATAGTTGGGTCATCATGTTGTCTGCATTGTTGCCAAAAAAATTGTGAGAAAAAAAAACGAAAACAATATATAAAAGAAAACTCACAAACATGTTTCATATTGTCAACAAAACAAACATCCAGAAAAATGAAATGAAATGGCCGGCTGTCCAAAAAAAAACTGTGTGTCGCAGAAAAGTCTAGTGTGTTTGCTCATGCCTGGTTGGAAATGAGGTGCACGGCAAGTTTGCCAAACCTTAAAGTTCAAAAACAAATGTCCCGTACACATTATCGAAACACAACACATGACACCTCGGAAATCAAATCATCAAGTAGACCACATGACCACATGGCTATGACTGCCATTAATCGCTTAATCTAGCCAGGACGCATGGCTGTCGAAACCAGGCGGTTCGTCACTGCCCAAGAGGGAGGACCTTAGCATCTGGTGGCAGCCTAAGGATCTGAAGTCTGTGTCTTGAGGCGTACAAAATTCGCCCTGGCATGCCACCATCAACTTTGCATGGGCAGACGACCTTATGTAGCACAATCGTTTGTCCCATGACCACATGCCTTTCCACAATCCCCAATAAACTGTAATGAGCCTGGACGTGAGAAATGCCTATTACCCGGTGATATTTGTCTACTTCCACAAGTGCACTGCAACATGGTGCAACATCAACCACATTGCATTACTGTGTAGAAAAACGTCCTATCTTGAGCAAAATGTTTGCAATATGCAAATCATCGACCCTCACCAACGGAAGATTGGCATGACATCTGCCAAAGGAGGGTTTCAAAAACGTGAAAGTTAGTTTGCGTGCTAATGTTGGTGGTACCCACGTGTTGCTCCTGGCTTTGGCTTTTAGGAACACAGGCGTACGGCCCCAAGACCCCAGGAAGACAACGCGAACATGATATCAACAACTCAGCCGCACGCTACTGCTGCTGCTCTGCATATGGTGTTTGTCAGCTGAGACCATGTTTTTCCATCATGCCCTGTCAAGTCTCCCATGACCTAGTACAATAATGGTGGATTCACCGGTGTTAGCCTCGAGGTGTCGCACTGGGGCGTCTGGCTAACTTGTTGCTGTTTACAGTACATTCATGTCTTTCGAAGTCCTCAAAGTGCATTTCGCCTGCGCAGGCTCGCAGAATCTGGTTGTCCGCGGCAGGTGCTTGTCGCGACTGCGCTCTCGTTGTGGTGCCGCGCGCATTTTCGGACATGATGGTCACTTTTCGCAAGGGAAACCTCGTGTTTTGGTGGTGCAAGGTCGACTTTTCGTGATAGGCGCAAGGAGCGGTTTTACTTCGAAGGTTTGCCATTGAATTTGGGAAAAAAAATTGCAATGAACACCTTTTTTTGAACGAGCATGGCTGCCAGTCAAAGGTCAGCTAATGTATGTGGAGATTGAAGATTTCCTGTGACCAAAACCGAAAAACGCCAACCAAAACAAACCACAAAAAAAAACAAAAAACAGAACACGCAAAACACCCAAACACAACCAACAGCACCGGTCAGACCAGGAAATCTTTGGATCTTTTGGATTCTTTTTTCTCCATGCACTGGAAATGATTCGGCGTGAAACGAAGCTGGCCGCGGATGAATTGTAGGAAGCAGCCTTCAGCTTGGTATGAGTTACAGGAGTGTCGGTCTCACCGATTTCCGAGGGACAGCAAGGTGGACAGTCCATGTTGAGTGACAGCGAACCAAAAGGCGGCAAAACATGAACGAGCTGAACTCGCGGGATGCTGTCACAGGGTTCCTGCCAAACCAAACGCACCCGTATGAAGAGTGGGCTGACCAGACAGGAGTTTCAGCACATTTCACCCCCAGCGCGGACCACCAGAACAACCGTGGGGGACGCAGCGGGAGGAGCGGCCAGCAGAGAAAATGCACAACAGAAGAGGCCAGCTCTCATCCCTGTCCTTGTCCCAACCGCCACTGCGTCGACACAAAGCCGTCTAAAACGATTCCCTGCACTGACCATGTTGTGGTTGGCTGTTTGCCAGCGGTCACTGCATTTCTCATTGGGAGGCGGGCCGACGGTGACCTTGGTCATTGTTACAGCCAACCTGTACAGAGTGATGCCGACTGGGGTTTCTTGACCAGCTTCTGAGCTGACTGGACGGTGCCAGAAACTTTTCGGAGCCCCACATGACAACGATTTGCCACTGATCACATCGGCAGCTGCATCTTCGGCAGCTTCGCCAAGCACTGCCGTCCAATTGCATCGTGTGCCGTGCTGGCCCTCTCATTTCTGCCTTCCCCGTCGCGCCTTTCGGGCAGACCCGTGTTGGTGACGACCACTTTCACACAATTTCTCACTCAGGTGACATCGTGGGCTTGGCACTTGAAATCTTGATGCCCACAGTTTCGCGTGGCTGTGATCTGCGATGCTTCTGGGCAGGCAAGATCTGCATCTAGAAGATGTTGATTGAAAAGGAAGTGACCAAGGCCTCTCGGAGAAGGTAAATTTTTTTCTCGCCAGTGGCACTGGAAGTTCGCTCCAGACCGGAACAACCCCAGTCTGTTTTTGTTCCTGACAGAATGCAAGGGTGAGTGAACAGCTTGTTTACTGACTATTACAGGCAATAGGACTTAACGCCGAAACACTGATGAATAAACTACCCCACTATAGACGATCGTCGTGTCTGGGGTTCGTGTGGCCATCCTCTCCGTACTCGCCACGAGGGCCGACACGGTCACCGTCCTCGTGCTCGGCGCGGTGAAGGTGACCGTCTCAGTGGGCACCTGCCGTGGGAAAACTCTGCTGTCGCTGAAGTGGTCTGAGCTGGTCCAATACTATCTCAGACACAACCTGTCTGGGACTGCCATAGGACTGCCGATCAGACTTGGGGTGGTTTTGGGGGTCACTGGGGCGGCATATATGGCAGTCCCATGGAGTGTCTCGGTGTAGTAGCGGGTGCATTACTAGTAGCAAGAAGCTACTAGTAACAAGTGCATCGCTACTATAGTAACAAGGGGCATTACTACTAGTAAGAAGCTGGTGTCTGGATAGACCATCTGGAGGCAGTTTCTTTCAAGCTTTGAGAGGCCAGACATGAACTGAGCCAGACATGTGACAGGCCAGGGTTCCCCAGTGCGATGAAGATGGTGGAACCGGGAAGAGGAATCCTCCCCTCTCCCAACAGCCCAGTCGACAAGTGTGAGGAAGGCCCAGTCGACAAGGATCACGGCCAAGTTGATAAGCAAGTCTTCCAAGTCTGAACAGTACTTTTGAGCAGTAATTTTATCGAGGTACCTGGGTACCTCTAGAAGTGCCATGTTAGCCACTGTGCTTTCTTCCGAGTCTTCTTCCAGAAAAAAGAACTCCAAAACCAGGGTCCAAACCGTCCCCAAATGATCCAAACGACTGGTCAACCCTGTCCTCTCAGCCAAGAAATCCACCCCTCGTCTTCACTTCCCCTCCGCTCCCCACCGTCTTCGTCGTCACCGTGGTCGAGGTGAAGGTCCTGTGAAGGTCGTCGTGTTTCGGACCAAAAAGAGTAACGTACTATCACCCGTTTGGCCTCCAGTCGTACCGAACCGTTTCGGTTCGGTGGGACTGGGGTGGGTGCCTTTGTCGGGTCCAGTCATACCGAACCGGTTTGGAGGTACGACTGGAGGTGTAGGGTCATGGACAAACTCTTAGAATATGATGGAATCTTGAGAATTTAGAAACTAAAATTCCATAAAAGTCCTAGTCCTAGTCCACTCATTGGACCCCGCAAAAAAAAACACCATTTTGTTGAAGACGCAGAAGAATGAGCAAAATTCTACCCATTTGGATTTAAAAAAACCTCTTGGATGGGTTGACATCTCATCTAAGAGTCTACAGTACCCAAACACTCCATGGGACTGGCATGAGTTGTGGTGGTGTTCTGAGTTGTATTTAAGATAGATCAAACGGACGTATAACCACTTCTCCTCAATAAGGGGTCAACGTATCTAAATATGCCAGTCCCATGGAGTGTCTGGGGTAGACTTCTGGGGCACCGTTTTGTTGAATAACACCCAAAGGACGTTCAATGGGAACTCCCACCAGGTGCGAATGATGGCATCCGAGCGCGTTCCTGGCAAATTAAGCACCAGTAACCTGCCTTATCAATCGACTTAAAGCTCAAAACAGCCTTCGAATGTCGAGTCCGCGTGCGCCACCGCATGTCACCTGCCCCCTGGGCATGTGACCAAGCCAAAATCCGCCACTTCGCAGCGGTGAAGCGATGAGTGGGCCCCGTGCCCTTCGCTGTTCTTGGTCCCCCAAGCATCGGGACTGGAAGAGTTCACATGCCCAAACACGATGTCTATGAGACTGGCATATCCCAGACACTCCATGGGACTGGCATACTTACATACATTGACCCCTTTTCAACCACCCCAACTCATCGGTAAATATGCCAGTCCCATGGAGTGTTTGGGTATTTACATCCATTGACCCCTGACATCAACCACCCCTGGCCCGAACTCTCGGTAGTCCGGACTGCCAGTCCGGCGGTCGTGCCCAGGTCGTGGGTCCATTTCACGGTACTCCGACGCAAGAAGACCTCCTGCTTAGTGGCAGAACAGGCCGCCAACCCGGACCAGGATAGGCCAAAAGGATATGTGTTACCTTATTTTGCAAAGATCCAAAAGTATTGTTCTTTAGTCTAGTCGTCATTGAACCACCAAAACATGCCATATGACCATTGTTCTATGGTATCAACAAGTTAAACCCAAGCGAATGCAGCTTTGAGTCATGTGCTCCACTTTGCCAGCGGGATTTGGAGGACCTCTATGCTCAATAGCTTTTTTGAGGGGTAACCTATTTTGGCACATTTTGCACCATATATAAAACCATATAAGTCATGATCATATTAAGTCATATAAGTGTCTCCAGTGGAACTCGGCCGACGCGAAAACATGCTCCTCGTCTCTGGCAGGGTGAACGTCACCGTCTCCGTGGGAACCTTGGGCGCGTAAACCTCTTCACGTTCAGGGGCTGCTGTGAGATTTCCTGGAAAATCAAGAGCTTAACATAGGTTGACCCTCCAAACCTACATGAGATGGAGTCACCTTCTGAGAAGGCACGACTGGATCGATAGGGATAGGTTGACCTTCTTTCTCCTTTGTCCATCGCTATGAAGCGGGCCGGGCAACATAGGGAAACCAAGAAACATCCTCCTAAGGGACCTGTTTCATCACTGATTGGGGACCTGGAGGACGTGGAGAGGTCCTGCCTTTCGGCAGCAACTGTTCTTACTTTTTGCAGGTCGGAGGTCCTGGGGAACTACCCAGTTTGAACATCCACATTCTTGCTCTCTCGGCAGGGTGCAGGGAATCTATTTATGTACTTGAGTACCTGAGAATTGATTTTGATGAGAATATACGGAAAAGCAGGAACAATAGCATTCCAAATGCAAACTGTGGGCAACAGACCGGATTGCAAAAGTCGCATCTCAGCCGCCACCACCCATTGCAAAAAGTCTTTCACCACGCAGTGTTCAACTCCAAGAATACACGTGTCTTGCACACGGTCAGGATCATGAAAGCTGGAAATCATCTGTGAAAACATGTTTACAACTTGACAAACTCAAGCCACAAGAGTTTGACCCACGCATTGACGGTCTGCTGGGTCAGCTTGCAAGTGCTCTTCTCCGCCGGTGAGACCGGCCTCGCGCCGACCAAGGATCGCGACGTGAGCCTGTGACTTCAGCTGCTTCAGGATTGCACTGCCAGCTTCAAGGGCCGACCCCTCGTTTCGCAACCCACGACCCCAAGTGCCTCGTCCAGAGTCCTGACAGGCGATCGAGACAAACACATCCCGATGGCATCGGATCATGATGTAAACTTATAGTCATTGGATAAGGAAAAAAACATCTTCCCCAGGAATGGGGATTGACAGGGACCAAAAATGATCCATCGGCCCTCAGCAAAACCAGCTAATTTGAGCATCCTTCTGAGAATGTTGTAGCTGGAAAATTAGGCTTGTGCTCAGGGAAGAATGCGCCACACACACACATATATATATATATATTTTTTTTTGCTGTTCGGGGGAAGTCTATATGACGGCTATGGTTTAGTCGGTTTAGTGCCATGTACACAGGTCCTCTCACATGATCCCTAGGGATCCAAGTACCTTCTCAGCAGGTGAGCAGGAAGACACACGTTATGTAGGTGCTATTGTCGGGTCCAGTCGTACCGAACCTGAGGAGAAGGTACGACAACGGATCCCGGATTAAGACCTTTTACCATCGAACGTTGGTTGGAAGGGGTCTCCCAGCTCGAGTTGCCTAGTGCTCACTACAGCTTTCATCCACTGCAGCTCATTGCGGCCCCCCGTAGTTTCACTGGGCGTCCAAGGGCGACCCCGGAGCTGGACATCCGGAAAAAGACAGACCTGAAGGGTGAACCATATGTGAACCGAAGCGACTTTCCACCGACTATTCTTGGTGTAGTGGGGAAGCCTGTCTTCCCCACCTACTGAAGATTGGGCAGGTACATCCACTTTTCCTGCGGTCGGATCACAAATGATCCAGGTGGACCCTACCAAAAAGTATAGGGTCAGCCTTCGGATGTGGGACAGGTTTGAAATTGATTTGGCTTGCGGCTTGCCCTATACTGCGCTCCTCTTCTTGTGGTCGTTGAGCTGGAATTGATCCAGGTCCATGTCGCAAAAGTTGCCACCATCAGAACTCCGGAAGTTCATCACATAGAAACCCAGGAAGAATTTGTCCATTTCGAAGCGATAATGAAAGACTTTTTGTTGATAGGCTTGATGCGCGTATTTCAGCTTCTTCCTCTTGTTATCTACAGCATAGAAGCGGTCCAAGATCGAGTCAAGCCAAACAATCACTTCATACAACTCCTCGTCCACAAAACCCTGGAAATCTACATTGACCATCTCTTCTGGATGTTCCTGCCAGGAGTTCCAGCATCATTCCTCTTGGTTACCTTCTGCTCATCCGCTTAAAAACTACAGCTACTAATGAATCCTTTTGATCGGCATTGAGGCTGAACACGAAACACAGGCCGCGCCGTTTCCAGCGAGGATTGCGATGTTCTTGATATACTTCGATAGTTAAAGTTTCTGCCCCCCAAACAAAAGGTGTCTTCATGCCGTTCGGCGCTGGAAAGCTGAAAGCTTTCTTCGGGCAATCGAACCAGGACCACCGGCAAATACCTGCAAAACAGGTATCAGCACGAAAACAGCCATTTAGCGTGGGTCCCCGAAAAAGAAAAAACACACAGCAAAAAAAGGACTGACTAACCCTCCCTACACGATATTTGTTGGGAAATCCCAACAAATATCGTGTCCGTCCTTGTTGTAGGCCTCAAGAACTTCCTTGCGTGTGCACGTGTAGCCGATGGACACATTTCCATCGGTCATTCCCTCTGCTCCGCTGGAAGCCGCTGGCGAGCTTGAGCCGGGCCGCATGGGGTCGACGCAAGGGGTCGTTCCGATTTGGACTCCCCATACACCGATGCCGTTCCTTTGGTTTTTCTATTCCGGCATCGGTGATTCCCCCAAAGCACCTCAAGATACGCATGCACCCTGAAGTGTATTAGTATCCACATGTATCCACTACTGTATCCACTCTGCACCATACATCACCATACATGGAGTGTCTGGGATATTGATTGCGGCCAGCGAAAACTTGGGAAATGTTCAGCTCGGCTGAGAAAACTGAATTCGATTGCGGCTAGGTTCAACCTGCAACGAGATAACGATATGTATAAGCTTGTCAACCTGCTCATGTCACATTCTTCTGCCTTATGCATCACTTATCCCAGTTCGACTCCATGGAATTGCCATAGGACTGCCGAGAAACGGTCGCCTTTGCCGAGACTGGGGTGCGTAGACCGTTGAGGCAGGGGTAGATCGGCGGATGTGGAAGGCCGGAAAAACGATGGAAGAAACGGTTTCTTCGAAGGATGGACGTCTTCTGCCTGTGTGCAACGACAAAGCTGAGGGACCCTTGGGTGATTTCATGTAGGGCAACAAACTGCGGAAAGACGGTACATCTCCTGGGGCACCCAAAGTCACCAAATTTCAGACCAGGCTTCACACGTTTTGGCAATGACAACCATTGAAACAACTCTCAATCAATGATTTCCAATGAAATCAATCTTACCATATCTTGCAGCTCTCCAATAAGGCATCTCAAGAGCTCTACCCGCCCAATGAGCACCCTGGCACCACCCATGAGCACCCATCCCACTCCGAAAACTGACGCTTTGCACTCCTCACGGCCGCACGATCGTCACGACACGCGGTTTGGGCGGAAGGGAGCCGTCGCGACCGTCACGACCGTCACCGCTCGGACCGCTGCAGTCAAAGCCACTGTCCTGGAAGTCACGGACGTGTAGGTCCTGCTGCGCTCCGACCGACGGACTGCTGCGGTGACACTCTCAACTCACAGAAGTGGGATTCAGCGGGTTCAAGATGGTTCAGTATGATCCCAAGTAAAGGTTGAATACACATGAGGACCACAAGTTTCAAAGAAAAACATCTCAAACCACCACCGGGGAAGAAATTGCACATCACGCGACCCCAACAGTCAAAGCGTGGTGGATCCAAAATCTGGACGGATGTCGCAAAAAGATGCTCCAAAAACTGCCCCGCCACCACCACGACTCTTGCGACCAAACAACAACCCATGGGTTTCAACGGCCTCGAGAATGCATGCATATATATATATATATGACATGATGTTGGTTTTTATGCATGTCTTCACAAGTCCTTCCACAGAAAATACACTCTGAAAACCAACAAGTGCTGGCTGTCACTGAGCTGACCTGTTTGCGCACCTAGACACCCCAAACAGGTGCTTGGGGAATCTTGACGATGTTTTCTGCCAATCCTTGTGAACTTGTGCAATAACTGTCCATGTTCGAGGGCCTACCATCTTGGATTTCGTGAGCCTGCCCTGGAATTGCTGGTCGTTTCAACCCAAGTCCCTTTCCACCCTGCTTGCGCAAATTGCAGCTGCGTTCAATCTCTGGGTGCACCGGAAAGCAAACATGCAGATTGACCAGAAGCACCTGAGAACGCGGCACAGCAGCTTTTGCACGCGTGGGGCTGCCGTCGCAAGAATGCGAAGGTCTGCGATCGGCACCGCTGTGGCAGCTGGCAAGCACTTTCAGCACGGAAAACATGCCAAACTTCCAAAAAGCCGGGCTGCACACTGAGCATGTTGAAAGCTGGTGCCTGACATTAATTGAGTTTGAAAACCTGAGGCGGCAATGTGGAGGCCGCCAAGCAACCACGAATCTTCTCACATCTAAAAGCGGCCAAGTGTGCTTCTCATGCGCATGGGAAACACGCTCCAGCAGGCACTTGTAGAAATCTTGATCAGTGTCTGCATGGCAATTTGTTCGCCGCGTTGCGCAAGATCCGTGACATGATCAACATCTGGATTCGGCTCTGCAACATCAGTGGAAACTGGGCTCTACACAGCAGATTGTCTTGTGCGGGATCCTTGTCCGGCATGGCCGGATCTGCTGGGGCGGTCCACTGTTTTTTTGTCTCAGACTGAATTCATTGGTGTGGATGGTGGAGGGAATTCATCGTGAGATTGCAGGATTTCCTGCTTCTGTCTTCTGGTGGGTTGCGTTGTTGTTGTTGTTGTTGTTGTTGTTTTGTTTGCTTGGGTTCAACCACAGCTCCTAGAGGATTGACATCCGGCAAAGTTTGGATTGGCCCTTGAATGCCTGAAAAACCTACTACCTTAAGTAAGTAGATTACAAACGGTCTAAACACAAAGCGAATGCACGCGCAACAGCTCACAAGCAACGCAAAAGCACTCGCACCACTTTTACGCGCACTCTCTGGGCCTTGAGCCAAAGTAAAGTACAAAAGGCTATGAGGTATTCCTGCATACAAGCTATTCCCATGCGAGACACTGAAAGTGTCGAGCTTAAACGCACTCAAAAATGCACAAAACTGTTCAAAAAACATTCACATTACAAAAGCTACAAAGACTTCTTCACAAGGCTTCTAAACATTGTACATTCCTTGAGCTATGCTCTCCAAAGCTCCCAAAACTCTTCGAAACACAAAGTTCCAGCAAGGAACGCTTTCTCAAACATTGAAAACGCAACACCTCACAGCTAAGGCGTCACACAGCACTTAGACATGAACGCTACTGTTCTCAAAACAGTTGCTCTGCACACAGTTGGTTGTAAACTGACCTCGCACGGCCATACACTTTCACACCCCCTTACGAGATCAAGTGTCAACATCATTCTGCTGCTTGGGACTCTCCTCATACCTCGTCTTCAAACACTTCTTGCAGAAATGAAAGCGGGACAAAGCACAGCCTTTGGCATAGCTGCAGAACGGTGTCAGGTGCAACACTGTTCCCTTTTCAGTTCGATAGTATGTATCATGCATATCGAGCCAATCTGCGAACACTGGCGGGATCACTTCGTTCACTTCAACGCTCACATCTCTTGTACTCTTCTTTCCCATTGACTCCTGTTGATTCCTCGAATCAATCACCACTTGCACTCAACGGCAACATAGCTTCGCCAGAATTCCTCCAACGAACACGCCACTCACAAATGAGAATACGTAGCATCTCAAACTCTCGCCCATCCACATAAGCAGTAATCGCGGCTGCCTCCATGAACGGCGACGAAAACGCGAACGCGCGCCCAAATAGCTGCGGACAAAAGCAGCCAGCTAGCACAGCAAGCACAGCACGCTTGAACCACACAGAAAACAAATAGAATAGAAATTGCACTCAAATTGCACTCATTCCGAATCTCCAGAACTCCATGGCTTTGCCAGTAAGACCTTCTGATCTCCGATTCCGATCTTCTCTTCAAGAGACGTTCGACCGACCTCGAAAACCTCAGACTCATCATGACATCTATCTAATTCCTCTGACATTCGACAGTCGACGCTTCTCTCAAAGAAAACTTCAAACCTGGACAAAAGACTCTCTCTCGTTTCTCCACATCCTTTCGACTTGATCGAAACGGTGCTGCACAAGAAAACACCCATCATGGTGTAAGATCCTTCTCGGCTCATGCATGACCAGCCTCGCTCCTTAGAAATCGAACGAAGTATCGAGTGAACACACGAGTGTATCGTTCCGTCTCTGTCCAATTTACATTGTTGAAAGCTGCGTGCTCGACAATGCACTGACATTTAAACCTTTCCGCTAACCTGTTTGCAACCTCCTTTCTGTTTGATATGAACCTGAACCTCTTTCCAACTGGTTGTTGACCTTTGGTAAACATCTTCATTGAACACGATACCTTCAAACTCTGGGCGCTGGTTTGACAAAACCTTTCTCAAGAATTCTGACTTCCAGTACTGAGCTCTAAGCTCTTTGATACCTGTCCATAAACCTCTTGAACCTTTCTCAAATAGACAATCGACAGAGTTGGCTACTTCCTCGGAGACCTCAACATGCCTCTGCCTCGACTGTTGATGGAAATTCAAAAATCGGACTTGCCCCAGCACATGGCAAAGAAACATGAGCGTGGATCGACTTGGTTCCAGACTTGCCAAGCTCAAATCGATGGTGGTCCTTTGGCTGGTTCCTGCGGCCGTGACAGCGACGCAAAGAATCAAGTATCGAAAGAATCTCTGCCTGAACTGCCTCTCAATGAGTCCAGCTGTGACGCTTGGACCACCGGCTGAAATACAAGTGTGGTACCTAGTTCGTCTTTGGTTCCTTCTTTGGCGAATGCACCTGTTTTGAGTGTTGGACCGCCTGACAACTTTCGTAGGGAATGCCATGCTTCGCAACTACATTGATTCGGCTGCACTGTTGGTGTGCTCTCGGCAGTTTGAAGCTTTCGGAAGCATCTCGCAGTGGTTTTCCTTGGGGCCGTGTCAATGCAAACGAGCGAACACCCCTACATGTCTTGCAAGTCGCTAGGTACCCGAGAATGCATGGTTGTCAAGTCGGCTTACAATGCTCTCCAAATGCAATCTCGTCCACGGCGTCCTGACTCAGGACGTTTCGCTGTCGGCAAGGATGAACCTCGAAAGAAGTGAGACCTTCACAAAGAATGTAACCCAACACTACCTAGTGGTCAAGATGAACTGAGAGCCGGTGCTGAATTCATTGCCCCTGATTCACCTTCTCTTATTTGGCCGACACGGCTGCTTGAGCTACATACCAGGTTGCGGTTTTCTGTTTGGGTCGTTTTTGGGTTGGTGTGGTTTGGTGGTTTTGTTTGGTTTGGTTGTGTTGGTCGTTTGGTTTTTTCTGTGCCTCAACCTGGCTTGTAACTCTCACTTCACTAGCATAAGATGACCTGCGCAACCTCTGCACACATGGCGTCTCCACCCGTGCAAAAAAAAAGCAGCAATCGGGAACTTTTCACTGTGTTTTTTCCCCTTTGCCTGTTCAATGCTGCAGAGGAAGAGGGTTGATCTGATGTTGTAAGAATGATGCCTGCTCTCTTGACTGCACA